CAAAGGCATCTCTGGACCCCGAAGGGCCTGCCTAGTGCCGTGCCGAATCTCCCCCCAGTTCCCCTGAACTGGGCCCCAATCTTCCTTGCAGAGCGGCCTAGTTGTGGCCCGCCTGCTGTACCTGCAAAACAATTTGAAGCAGCAGATTGACCTTCACTTCTAGGGCAGGTCCTTCACCCCCTTTTCTTAGGTGGGTGGTATCGGCTTGTTTCTTGGGGCCCTGCCTTCTTTTGGGCTTAGTCACCTATCTGCTCCTTTCTGGTCAATTGGGAGGTCCTGGCACACTGGAACTGGTCCTGGCACACTGCAGCTCGTCCAGTACCGGTGCTCTGGCACCCTAATGTACTGTGGGCTTGGGCTGACTGGACCTCGCGTGTTCGGCTGCGCGTTGAGCGCCTGGCGCGGCTCCTCCGGGTGCTGGCCACCTGCTGGTCACTCCCTTGGATGGCTCTCGCCGGCTCTCTCCGCGCGCTGGTCAGATGGCCCCGCAGAATTGCCAATCGGGGCGCGGGCTCGATGGCCGCGGACCTCCCCGGCGATTCAGCCCCCGGATCGGGCTGATCGCCTCCGCGGCCGCGGTTGGAGGGGCTGGTTCTGGCGCAGCAATCCGCGGCGAATGATGCCGCGCCTCTTGGGTCTCTCTTGCCGCCGCGTCCTGCTCGGCTCCCGGCTTCGGCTGCGCTCCGAAACCAATTGTTGCGGCCCGCGGGCGGCCGCTAGTTTCCGGAGTTTGGGGGGCGGTCGCCGCACCCGATGGCGCGGCCTCGATGCCGCGCCTCTCCGCCGGATTCCGGCGGGCGTTGCCGGGGTGCTCGTTTGTTCGGTAGCGCGGTGGGCCCTTGGACGCTCGGGGACCTTCCCCAAAGCCTGCCGTGTGCAGGCGGTGGAGTCGCGGCGGCGTTCGGCGGTTCACTGCCTCGCGGCGGGGCAGAGAGGGGCCCGGATTTGCGATTACAGTCTGACACACGCGATGCGCGCATCCATGTGCCTGCGCGGTGCCCGGTCGCGGGTCCATCGCGTCATATCAGACATGACAGCTCAGTGTAATGTACGGACCGTGTCCCAGCGCCCCCGGTCACCTATAATCAACCTAATCTAGCTTTAATTCCAACCATCCCCGCCCAGCACCCGGCCTCTAAGTACTGCGTCTTCACGAGGCCGTATCTTCCTCAATACTCCATAGAACTGAGTGCTGAAAGAAGCATTGGAACCAAGAAATCATAAGTAAACCACAAATAAGAATGACTCAGCGAGATTGCGTAATACAGCTGCAGAAAACATCATTTACTGCCTGCCCCCAAGTAGCTCCACAACAGCGATGATGGATGGAGGGGCTGGGCTTGGGCAATGATTTTTGTTCAATGCAGACTTTCAGACACAATCCATCAAAGTATAAATGAGAATGACAACGCACAGTCTCAATTGCTGACGCAACTGTGATGGTATGCCAAAGTTGACCAAAAAAACCCTCTTGACAGCTTCGGGGCTGCCCCCATCGCCTGCCATGGCTTTCAGCATCTTATTTTCCACCCCCTACAATCACTGCATTTCCAGCTGCTCGCCCTCCTTGGAGATATTTCGATGTTGTACACCCTGCGAGGTAATGTTGCTGAGTCATCCCATGCTTGGCGTGTTATTTCTTAGAGAGCTGACGAGTAAGCTTGTTAACGGTTCGAGAAAACAGGAAACACAAAGGTCAGCCCGTCCTAAGCAATTGTGACGCCAGGCCGCGGCCTGAGCTTCGCGTCAAAATGACGCCGTGCCCATCAAATTCGACCTAATGCCTTGCCTCAGCGGCCATCAAAGTGGGCCATGGCCATCAGCGCTCCCGCAAAAACACGCAATTGCGTGTCCCACCGCCAACCCAGTAAACTCCAGAGCCCAGTTTGTCTTTCATAACGCCCCCCCTGGGGCGTTGCCCACCTCCAATTGTGTGAGGCTTGTGTGACTCGCGTGAGCTCGGGCCCCGGCGCCCCGGTTCCGAGCGGCCAAATAGGGGCGCGCCCGCCTCCTCCGCCCGCCCCGGCCCCCCTCCCCACCCCCCCGGCGCCGCCCCAAACTTTGCCCCGGCCGCAAATCCCATTCCCGCACATCGGGTGCAGGAGCAGAGACAGCCAGGCCCGTCGCTCGGACTCCCACCCGTGGGCGCGCATTCCAGCCCGCCCCGGCAGACGGCATGAGCGATCTCGATCCATCGGCGGTGCCGCTGCTGGATGGCAGCTGGCCCCAGGGCGGCCGGCCCGCCTGGGTGCCGCCCCGCCTGGGTGCCGCCCCGCCTGTGGCGCGCCCGCGGCGCGCTGGCCGCCTTCCGCCCCGAGAATCTCGTCTTCTTCTCGGTCTTCTTTGGCCTCCTCACCGGCCTGGTGGCCCTGGTGTACAACACCACCTTCATGTGGATCCTCGACCTCACATGGAGCACCCTGCCGAAGCACGCCTTCGTGCCCCTGCTGGAGGCCGCCCAGGATCGATGGGACTGGTTCCCGGCTACCGATCGCGTCGCCTTCGCCTACATCCTCATCGTGGCGGCCCTGTACGGGTCGCTGGCTGGGCTGGTGCAGGCCAGACTGGGCTACCCGGGGGATCTCCCAGACTCCATCCGCCAGCTGCACGAGTTCGGCTCCCTGCCGCTGGCCCAGGCGCCCTCCATGTTCCTGTGCTCCACCTTCAGCATCGTGAGCGGTGCCAGCCTGGGCCCGGAGGCGCCCATCCTGTCCATCTGCGCGGCCACCGTCAGCTGGATGTCCGCCACCGTCTTCGGCCACAGGGGCGCCATGCTGCGCGCGTGCACGCTCATGGGGATGGCGTCCGGCCTCTCCGCGCTTTTCGGCGTGGGACTTGGAGGTGAGCTGCCGCCACACCCACCTGACCTTAACCTCTTCATGGGTCCCCCCCTTCCCCGCCCCTGTTTATTTATAGACGGCGCGCGCGTCGATCTGGGCCGATGCACCCGCCCTCTCGGCGCTTGCGCTGGTCCGTTTTCGGCGTGCGTTCTTGCTCTGTGGCGCTGCGGCGCGACGGGGCGGCTTGGGACATGCACTGGCCTGCATGCCTTGGTGTGGTGTGCGATGCCCTGGGCGCCACCTGGCGCGGACGCACTCGCCAGACGTGGGCCGCCCTAATTGGGTCGTCCAGCCCGACCTGGGGCGCAATAGACGCGGCCCGTGGGCCATCCGACCCACTGCTGTGGTATGGTGTGTGTGCGAAAAGTGGATGAAGCGCGGATGTTAACGTTGTTGCGTCGTCAGGGTTGGGGTCGCAGGCTGTTTGTACTTTTGGTTTTTAGACCCTTCCGCATAGTAACGTAACGTTTGGCCTTTTTTTGCGGAGACAACAATGAATAAGGCTCTTTCAATAAAATATGTGCGGAGCCACGTAAAAAAGTAAAAACAACTGAAAAACAAATGCGGAGCAAAAAGCGTAACGGTACAGTTTTTTGTGCGGACGGGTTGAATACGCTTCAATAGTGGTCACTGCGCCCTGCTGCCGGAGGGACAAGATGGGACAGGAAAGGAACCCACAACTTCGGTAAAGGGCTTACGTCACGGAAGAGCTTGCGTCGTCGACGTGAAGTCATGTTGATGGCGCGAAACTGGAGGTGATTGCGGTACTGTTGCCGCCGTCCAAGGGGCGTGCGATGTGCGCACCAATTCAGTGCTGCCATCCTCCGACGGCTTTGATTGCTTTCGCCAGCGTTGACAAATCGTGCCGCCAAGGCGCCGAAATGACGCTGGGGGTCGCAGGGCGTCCATTGTCGTCCTGGTGGCATGTTTGTCTCGCTGTCCAACCTCGCCCTCATGTTGGGTGAATGTACCCTCAAGGACAACGTCAAAATACGAAAAATTTGTCGTGTCACTCGTCAGTGCTGCACTCAAAGCGCCAGACAGCGTCAGGCTCTAGCGGGCGACAATACTTGCGATGCAGAACCAAAGTTGCATTCTCTCACACTGGCCTTCTTTGCTCAGTCATTCAAAGTTTTTACGCTTGCTTGATGAACGGAACTGACCGGGGCATTATTTTGCGGTTTGCATCACCGGCAGTAGATTGTTTGAGTCCCAGCAGAGCTGTGCACATGGGCTTTGGCCACAAAGATGTTTAGCTGGAAGGGTTACAGAGAATAAACATTGACATTGAGTCATGCAGCATTGGCTGAACCAAATAAGACTTTAGAACAGCGAACTCAGGCTGCATGGACAGGAATGGTCATATGGGAATCGGTTGCAAAAAGTGATTAGTGCTACAGTGGAATTCCCTGGCCTGTGAACTTAATAGCCAAGGGATCAGTTGAGAGCATTCAGTACTGTGCTACGAAGGGTGGTGTTGCATGCAACAAATTTCGTCAACTTTGTGCCCTTGTGATCCATTTGCCCCAGTCGTGACATAACAGCTCCCCCTGCTGCCCTTCTGTCAGTCCTTGTGCGTGGCGCTCGGAAGCTGAAGCAAGCACTGGGCACCTGCTGACCCACTGCTATAGTCTGCACGATGCACAGAATGCATTGCATATGCACGTCGCACAAATTCGTGAACGGTACCTCACGATGCCAACAGATGGTTTATGGGGATCTGTATGCTGGATGTTGCTTTTTGGTGTCAAAATACATCAAATTTTGAGAGTCCACGTGCTTGTTATGTTCTTTCGCTTCAAAACCATTGTGGCCCATTTTAGAGATCAAGCATGCTGCTGTCCCATTACAAAGAATGGAAAGACAAACATGCTGCTGTCCCATTACAAAGAATGGAAAGATAACATGGTATTGTAGTAGATCAGGAAACATAGAGTGCTGCTGGAATGTGTCTTGCCTTCCAACCTTTGTCAGAAATTTTCCATTTCTGTCCATGATCGCAAATCCTATTTCTTCATTAGAGCTACTCTTCTTACATTCCAAAATATTGCTTGACACTTAACGGCTGGTGCCGTCCACAATCTCCCACAATGGCGTGATTGGCGGAAAGACCTGAAATTGCCCGAACCGTCGATCGATGTGCCCTGTGATCTGCAACAGGCAGCATCTTCGCCTTTGAGGTGCTCCACAGGATGGGCCTCCAGTTCTTCGAAGTCCTGAATTACGCTGTCATGTGCGCCCTCATCTGCCTGTTCGTGATGCGCGGCTTGTGGGGTCTGGAGAGGTTTGGTGCCATCTGGGCCTTTATAGACAAGGTGGGCAGCAGCCAACGCGTCGGATCAGAATAGCCAAACTGTTACTGATGGCCATTGTTCTGAAATTTTGCTTTCACTCCATCACTCCATTGTATGTGCACAACAGCACGGCACAATGTAGTGCAATGTTTCATTCCATGGAATAAGCCCTGCCAGCAGCACCTGCCAAGAAGTGAACAAGCACAGCACCCTCGATTGGCGCCCTTGCTTGGCGCTGTTCTCACGGCGGCCGTGTGTGTTCAGATGGGAGAGGTGGACAGCCGGCACCTGCTCCTGGGCGTCGTCCTGGGCCTGATAGGCGCCGGCATGGCCCTCCTCTTCATGGAGATCAACAGGCACCTGAAAAAGGGCGCCATGGCCGTCCGCCTCGACGAGAAGCGCCGTCCCGTGCTGTGCGGCGCGATCGGCGGCGTCCTGATCGGCCTGATCGGCGTCTGGCTGCCGCCCACGATGTTTTGGAGCGAGTACGAGATGGAGACCGTGGCCAACCCCGAGATTAAGCTGGCGCACGTCTGGCCGAAGGGCGGCTACTGGGGCCTGGCACCCTGGTTCCAGGGCCACTACACGCCGGCGATCTGGTTCGGCCTGGCCTTCGCCAAGCTCCTCACGATCAACATCTCCGTCGTGTCGGGCATGCGCGGCGGGTTCATCTTCCCGCTGATGTTCGCCGGCGCGTGCCTGGGCCGCGGCCTAGCAACGGTGCCCGGCATCCCGTGGGTCAGCGACCAGGCGCCGGTGCTGGCGGCCATGGTCACCGCGGCGGCGGTGTGCACGGGCGTGACGCGCACCCCCTTCGCAGTGACGCTCATCCTCACCGCGCTGGTGGGCGATCCGGGAGTGGCGGCCCCCACGCTGTGCGGCGCCCTGACCTCGTTCTTCGTGCTCATGAATAGACCGTTCTTCCTGGCCCAGCGGGACCGGGACGACATCATCTTCAAGCCGCTGGCGTTCGGCGAGATGCCCCGGGGGGTCAGCGGCATCAGCGCTGGAGAGTCCAGCGAGTCTTCCGGCAACAATTTCAGGATACCGGCGGGCCACCTGGCGACCAGCGGTAGCCGGACGTCGGAGACGACCCTCAACGAGTTGGCGGCGTGACTCGAGGGCGCACGAGTGTTGGGGTCGCGTTGTTTTTCTTTTTTCTTTGCTGACGTGGAAGCAGCTGCGGGTACGTCCCCTGTCTTCCTTGCGGATGTATTATTATTGGGAGGTGGGTTTTTACTCTGCAGCGGATGTCCTCGCCGTCGTCCGCTGATTGGCGCAGATTGGAGGCTTCCATGGAGTGGCCTGCAGTCCTTCGGATTGCATTCATGAGGACAGTCATGACAAATAAAGCCACTGCGCCTTGCGGGCGATGACGGGCGCACCGAAACGGTCAGCCAGTGTTTGTCCGAGTTTCCCACAACCTTGTTCCGGTTGTGGCGACGGACTATTTATGCTTCTACTTCTAGTCAGCGGGAAGAGGGGAAGGGGTGTTGGAACATTGTCTTTGCAAAGGAGTTTTTCTTGGGCCGCGGAAGTTTTCTGTCCTTCAAACAGCGAATTGAAGAATGCACGCCAGGTTGTGTTTTGTTGGGTGGGCCGGGAGTGGTGTGTTTGCAGCAGGAGAAACGCACCCATACAGTCACGGGCCTACAGTCCGGAAGGATCTGCAATAACAAGACCAGCATTGGCTCATGAATGGAAACGGTTTTGGAGCGGCTGGCTTCTCATGCAGCATATCATTTGTGGGAAGCATTCTGGCTTTGAGTGGGTGGTTTTGGAGGAGAGAGTCGTGTTTGCAGCTGCTGGAATAATTGCTGTTGGCAGCATAGCACGACTTTGTGTGGGTCTGGTTGGGAGTGGGCCAATTCTGCCATGAAAGTGGACGCAGCTCCATGTTGTCCACTGTGAATGAGACAGTAAAGGGAACAGATAAAGCTTAGGAGGACCAAGACAATTGCAAACGATTCCGGCTTTTAACATTCTTTCAGCAGCAGGGGGCTGAGGCTGCTCATGTGTATTCTGCGGCTGTGAATGCTGCAGCAGCAGGTGGGCGAACTGGATTCCGATGGCACGACACTTCAGCGGGCACGTGCATGCATGCACTCGCGCGATTGCAGCCAACCTCATGGGCACCCCGGAAATGTGTTTCTCCCACAGGAGATATGGTAGCATTTACAACTTAACAAGACAAAGCCCCGGAGAGCATGTTAGCGGGTGAATCATTTGCACTTTGGTGATTCCTTCCCCTCGTTATTTGTTTTAAAAGGTGATATGTCGCCCAATCGCCAACAGGGCAAGGGAAGACAACTGGATCGGAAAACGAATCGAATATGAAAACTTGTGAAGTTGACAGTACAGATGCACGCAGCAGATTCCATCTCCTCGTGTGTGCCTGGGTGCCAAGATCAAAATTGGTTAATGGAATCAAGCGAATACACTTTTTTCCTAGCCTACATTTATGTCCATCTCAAACACAGACAACTGCTTGCCCTTGAAGAGCCACAACCTTGTTAAGCCAGCACAGCAGCCACAAGCATCCACAGGGCCAGCAATGAGCAGTCGCTGTGGAGTATAGTGGCCACAACAAGCATGCATATTCCTCTACACCAGCATGTATGTCCTCCTGCAGGCTGTTTGTCTTCATTGAGTGCTCTCTTCTGTTCGCGCGACCATTGCCTTTGTTCGGATCCTCACTGTGATCTGTGGCTCCTCTTTCTCCTTGAGTGTGATTCTCAGCGGCACCTTGTGGTCGCCAATGGTCGTGATGGGTTTTTCCAACGCCACCAGCTGGCTTGGGAGGTGGATGCCCAGGTACCTGGATGTCTGCCTGCAGATTGCCTCCACCGTGATGGGCTGGTCGATGGTGCCATCCGCCTTCACATCTCGACGAAAACCCTGCACAAAGAAGGTGACCCAACTCTTGATATCAAGGCCATTAAAGAGCTTCTTTTTGTCACAATGCTTCTAGCTCGGAAGGCAGTTCTTGGGGCCATTCCGCCAAATTCGGGAACATCACTAATTGGGAACAATCAGTGTCGCTGTGAACATCGCCCGGTGGATGCAAGGGCTGTGATTTGTCAGCCACATACGGTACGTGCACCATCCAAAGACTCCAACTCCATGGCTGGTGTAGCAGCTGTTCAGTCCCACAAATTTGCACTCAGGCAATCGAAGATGCTGGCGATTGGTAGGCAGTTCTTTGCTGCTGGAGATGAAGCGAAAAAAGCACTGCTGCGGAAAGTTACTGCTATGAAACATTCAAAGGTTACTCAGAGGAGGCAGGTCACACCAGAAGTATTCAGCGCTGTTCAGTTGCGCATTGAAAAAATGCAAATAACAACAACTGAGACCTATGACAATATATGTAAGAAAAAAAATAGGGGACAGGCATTTTTGTGCATCTGAACACTGTCAACATCGCCTTGCAGAAGCAAGGGCATCTACCTGCCATGGTCTGATGGATGAAAAAATGCAAATAACAACAATTGAGACCTATGACAATATACGTAAGAAGAATAATAGGGGACAGGCATTTGTGTGCATGTGAACACTGTCAACATCGCCCTGCAGAAGCAAGGGCATCTACCTGCCATGGTCTGATGGATGCAAATAAAGAAGGTTACGACAAGGGAACTGAGAATGCACTTCAAGAGCTGCGACCCGACACAGCAATGCGTTCCACAGCGTATACTTGAGCAGTCATATTCCCAATAGCCATTGCTAAGCAACGATAATGCAGCATGGAAGTCGAAGCCATCACTAACTGAGCATGCATGGCTTGTGATCTTAGGATGTGCACTGTGGGGTGTTCAACCTGAAAGGCATAGAAATGGCAGGGAGCACATGTTGGGACTATATGTTTGGGGACAATTTTGTTCTGAACAATTTCAAAAGAATTCCAGTGGTCTTCAGCTGCATGAAAGCGAAATGCGAAGCAATGCTGGATGGACGGCAATACACCTGAAATCGGCAATGAGATTGGCAGCCAGGGACACACAGTTCATTGAACGAGGAACACAAGGAGACAACAATATTCCTCAAAGAAAATTGCCCACTGTGGATTCTCCTCTTGCCTAACTGCCCCACTGCTTATACAGTTGGAGCACAAATGCCAGGTCCAGTCTTGCAGATGAGCAGCTACAGACTGGCAGATGCCAGAAATCAGATGGAAATGCAACCAGGGCAGACATGCACTTGCCAGTGGGGTCCTCTGCAACCGCCTCATAATGAGTGGCAGGTTCTCCCGTGGATCCGACTTGCTGGTTGCATCTTCTTTGGCGTGGTCTTCCTCCTCCTTCTGCAGTGCAAATGTAGCATTAATCGCGATCGGAATAGCAAAGACGCCTGCCGTTCCCTATGGACCTTCCCACCTCATCCTTTCCAGCATGGAGAGCAATCCCAAACAAATGTAAGACCAGGGGGACGTCCAGTACATTTTACGTTTTCCCCTTTTCTTTTGTGCCCTCTGTTTCAACGAATAAGTGACCCACCATGTCAGCCACAGCATGACAAGGGACTGCCTCTCACAGGAAGAATGTTTTCCAAAGTCCTGGCGAGACCAACTCGAAATCTGCCCTGATGGCATTCGTCAACACACAAAGAATACCACCCTTGGACCTGCTCTCCCACGGTGTTGCTTGATTCCACTACCCTGTCTTGGGAGGGTTCCGTATCAGAATTTAACTGAGCACAGTAAAACGAACACAGTGTGTCGCCACCACCAAACAAAGGAGGTTGGATGAGGGGGCCCGCGGGCCACTGCATGTTTTTTTATCTTTTTTTTCTTCTCGCCAACATGAGTTCATGTGCCTACGATCTAGGCCATTTGCCTATCTCAGCTGCTGGAAATGGACAATCCGAGACCATTCGCCTGATAACAGGATGCAGGAACTCGACAATAGATGCAACAGCAATGTTGCAATAGGCATGTCCGGACTAGACAAGCGGGCCGGCTTCTGTAAATTTGCAACTAAGGCTTCCCACAACTGACCACGCTTCTTGATTGAGAGCCGGTCCCGGAGGCGTACCTTTGGGGCCGCACGTGGCGTTGGCGGCGTGCGCCATTTGGCGTACACCGCCCGCTTCTGCGGATACAGGTAGTTCCTCGCGAAGCCCGCCGTCACCTCCACCACGTCACCTGCCGGGCCCAGTGCCGGTACCTCCTGATCATCACAAATGCGTTTGTCAATGTTGTATTAAAATCCCCGAAGCACAGGTCATAAAATGGAGCACCCCCTCCTAGGCAAGCACACAGAGGGGCCCTGTTCTGCATTGCAGCGCTATGTGCGCCACCGTCGGCAGGAATGACATCGAAAGCACAATTCACGCACCAACCAACAACTACGTACTCTTGTGGTGTCCGTAAGAACACAAAAATGTCTGCGGTGGGAGTGAGCGAGGATCGCGTCGACTGCGCCCACAGATGCGATTTTCCCCAACCAGCAAGGAAAGACAGAACCCGACCCGGATATTTCCGCCGGACAGCTTTCGCCGAATGCGATGTGCCCACCACCATCGCCACGACGACGAATGCCGACGCTCGGCCTTCCGCGCGCGCACACACCTCTTTCAGCTGGACGGACACCTTCCGATGCGCGCCGCGCGACGCCTCCAAGTCCCACAGGCGGCGGTAGGCCAGCCTCCCGCCCTTCGCGGCGCGGAGCATAACGCCCAGGGCGCCAGCGACAACCCCGTTCGACCTTCGGCCAGCGGAATGCGACCACTTCTCGTCTGAATGTCGAGTACTAAGGGTGGCTGAAGCTCCAATGCACTCAAGTGCACGCCCTTGTGTAAAGCTCGCTAAGGGTGTGTGTTTGCTCTCCGGTAAAGCTCTTAAGTACTGCCCCCCCCCCCCTCCCCCAACCGCGGCCGCCACGTCTCACATGGGCGCTGCTGCGAAAACCAGCAGTGCTTTCGACCAAGGGGCTTGCAGCCTCGAGGTCGAGTGCCTGACTCAAGCCCAGCACAGTGAAATGGATGTGACGTCTTTCTGCACTGTACTGTATCGCTACGGATCCCCGGCTGGACGCCGCACCCTTCACCCTTGCGATGAACCCCTCCCAACGGAAGCACGAGGGCGCGGAGGCCGGCCGGCAAGGCGCGCAGCCACCCATCCCGGCCAGCTGCGGCGGGATGGTGCGATCTTGGGACGCGATGTTTTGTAGGGCATATTTTCGGGACGCCCAATCGCGATTGGTCCAGTGACGGCGCGGCTGACGTCCGTGGGATCAATCGCTGCTGCAGGCGGCGGCGGGCGACTCTCCCGCGTGCTGCGGGCTGGTGAAGGAGCTGGTGGAGCGGGCGCGGCCGTGTGTGCTGCGCCCACGGTGCTTCTTCGTGGCCTGGAACGGCGTGCTGACGATCGCGTACAGGTGCGGGAGGACGGCGGATGGCATCGGGCGGTCTTGTTCCGATGTCGAGGGGGCGGTCGGAAGGGGGCGCGAGGAAGGGTGAGGAAGGGAGGCATGAGCGCACGAGGGGGCGTTAGTCATGCGCAAGGCGCCCAGGCGTCTTTGCGGGGGAGCGACGTGCCCTTTTTGGTGCCCATGGAGTGTGTTTGTTTCCCGGGGTGATAAGGGGAGAAGGCAAGGACTGCCAGCTCAAGATGAGGGCCATCGGTCGCGAGTTTTCGGAATTCAGTTGACCCCCGCGCTATGTGGCCCCGTTCTCCCTCGTGTTTGGACGTCCGTTGCTGTGCAGTCTGTCTTCTTCCGTGGAAGAGCACAGGACTGCGCGGTGTCCAAGCAATTCGGCGCTGCGGGCCGCGAGCTAGCCAGCTTGAAGCGGCAGTGACGATGATGCCATGTGCAAGCAAAACAGATCAAGGAAAATTGAGAGTTGCGACAGATGTTTCTCAAAAGCCTGCCATTGGGAAGGTTGGATCCCTCAGGTGGAGTAAAGCAAGTCGCTGCCACCAAGGGTGTTTTATTTCGCCTGTGCAGGGTTATCGCTTGACCCACAGACTTCTAATTTGTTTGTTACTGTTTGGCTGGAAATTTGCTAAGGGAAACCCAAACACCAAAGCGAACAAGAGACTTTCTTCCCAGCTGGTATCCAGACATAAGACATTTCGCTGCTAGTGCTGCAATATCTCCAATGCTCTGGATGATGTGCACAGATGCTGGAGTGCATTCTCACTAACACTGCTGTCAAAGGCAACTGTTGCCACAAGTGGTGGCTGAAACTGAGCAGCTCAGTGCAGTCATTGTTGCCTCATCAATCCAGACCAAAGTACAGGACTCCCGTCAGCCTGGCTGGCATGTGATCCACCCAGACATCGTCCAAAGCCGGAAACGTATGCCCAGGCAGGGCTGCATATTCTGTCCACTATCCGTGACTCAAAAATGCTTTGGTGTGCATTCGTGCAGCGGCTTTCCACCTTCCCTTGCAAGGTTGAAGTCGGAGCTCTCAGCGGAGATCGATGCCCTCCCACCTGAGAAACCAGGGTCGCTGTGGCCCAAAACCACGCTTGCAGCAGTCAAGGACAATCGCAGGCTGTCTCCAAAGCAGCTCACTGCTCTTGGGAAGATCTGCAGGTATCACTATGCCTGTACTGGCATCCATGCAGCATTCATTTTGTAACATTCAGCTGTGACTGTGTCTGTCACCCCACAAGGCACTGTCCATTTCTTTTGTACAACTTGTGAAATGCAACGGCTGGCCTTTGCAGCCCAGTACTGGGCTCGGGGAGTTGTACTTGGTATCTGTTCTGTGTTCCTTCCCAGATATCTTAAGAGGAATGAGCAGGCACGGTGGACAATTTTGTGTGAAAGATCCTGTCGAAAAGGATTGGAACCGTGGTGAAACCTGGTTGAGATGGCATCACAAACTCAAGAAAACACCATTTTATTGGCTTGTTGGGAGATAAGGTCATTGTCAGGAAGCAGCCAACGTGACAGCAAGAAATAATCAAGGGTATGAACGACGTAAGCATAATCAAAAGCATCTGTACGATGAGAGCAGCAAGACCTTGGCACTGCATGTGATCAAACATAGTACACAATCAGAAAGTGTCCAGTGCTGCACTGACTAGAATGCACCGATTTCATTGCGCTGTTCGTTCACTGTATGCACATCGTGTTGCAAAATACGGTGATCTTTATACTACCAGAAAATACACATTGCTCGCGCAGCCATGCTCGCACGAGTGGTGCACATGCACGCACTCTTTTGCTGCAATTCATGTGCCAAATTGCAGGAGACTTGCATGCCTCTCATGCTAATCCCAACACCACCCACCCACAACCACTTTCTTCCGAACGAGAGCGAGTGCCAGAGGTGGCTCCAAGGCGCCCGCCCTAAGGACGTTAGCACATCTTTCTCAAGTGAAAGGCAATCGACCTGTTGGGTCGATCGCCACAAACAGAATTTCCAAACTTGACCCCTCCCCCAACCCCCGTGCCACTCGCCTTCAATCGCCGGCCAAGGAGGCACCTCAAAGCGCTGCAGCAAGGCTGCCAAGCCTCTTTGAAGTGAAAGACCATGGCGATAGACCCATTGGGCCAATCGCCGCGGACACAATTTTCAAATTTGAACATTCCCCAACCCGCCCCACCCCTCTGAAACTGCCACTTGTTCTAATCTATGGCCAAGAGGCGCCAAGAGGTGCCAAGAGGCACCTTAAAGTCGGCCCCCAGCTTGCTTGAAGTGAACATTGCATCGAGCGACCAGTTGAGTCAATCGCCTTGAACAGATTTTTTCACATTGGCTGGCCCCCAACCCCTACATTCCTCACCCATCGCCTTCCCAGACGTGACCCAAGCCATGGCCATGGGCAATGGTAATTGCCACTGCCGACCACTCGCCAAAGTGCCACCTGGTTCATGGCAGCCGTGCCAGTCAAGAAGACCCACAGGGGATAGACTATGACTGGGGGGCCGGCGGCCTTGCCACGCGCTGGGCGCCAGTCAAGGAAGCAGGGGGGAATGGGCGTGAGTGGCAGGTCGGCGCCCATGCCGCGCATTGCGCCGCACGCGCCCCATATGCCGGTTAAGGAAGCCCAGGAATGGGCGGCATATGCACAGCTGGCGTCCGCGCCATGCGCCACCCGTGCATAGTGCGCCAGTGCAAGACCTGGGAGGCCCACCGTAGGCATTACTCAAACCACGTAATGACCGCGCGCGTAACAGAAAAAAGTTACCATCCACATGGTGTCCGGCCCATTCGTCTAAAGACAACTTGTCTAATGGACAAGTGGTCTAAAGACATTTGCTCTAAGGACAACTCGTCTAACAAGGGATCCACCCTAAACACGGCCACGGGTTGGTTGTGTACCAATGACACAAACTTCTCTGTTATGAATACCACTCGTTTCCAAAGTTGCATGTGTTCAAGTGCCCTATGGTGAAGTCATTTGCAACGTTGACTTTGTCTTTGCATTAGACGGGTTGTCTTTAGACGAGTTGAGTCAAGCAGCGCCTATCAAGTGCATTTAACCTACAATTACATTTCATTCCGTTTGTGGTGGGCTGCATTCCGAACTGGTTCCTGGGCGCGTTCCTGACGCGCGCACAGGGGGGCGGGGCAGCACGGGAGGGTGAGTGCCGGTCCAGCCACATGGGTGGCGGGTGTGGGGCGGTTTGGCGCAGTGTGGGGCGTCAATTGGCAGCTATGGAAAGCGGAGATGCTACAGGGCGCGGAAATGAATCTACGGGAGAGATGGCCAAACATCAACGCCGATTGGCATGGATGAAGCCAGCAGATCCGCCAAGGTGCAAAAATAGATCGACGGGAGTGGGTGGCGAAAGGGAGAGTCGACTGACAGATATGGAGCACAGAGATTCTCCAAGATGCAAAGGTGGATCGACGGGAGAGGCAACCGAATGGCAGCGCCGATTGGCAGCAAGGCAGCAAGCAGATCCTCTGAGGCAAGAAGGTGGCTCGACGGGAGCGGCAGGCCAACGCGACCCCATTCCACAATGGGAATTGATTCGCGGGCAAAGAGCTGAACCGCAATGCATAAACAATCGTTTTTGTTTCATCACCACAAGAACATATAACATACCTATTTGGTGCACTAGCTTCAGCTGGAAAGCGGATGTGAGTTGGTTTTTGGGTTTTGGGGAATGCATTGAATGGGTGAGGGACCTCGAGTCACCAGCTTGAGCTGGAATGCGGATTCGAGTGAGTTGGTTTTTGGGTAGAGGGGAATGCGCTTAACGGGTGAGGGCCCTCGGGTCACCGGCTTGAGCTAGAATGCGGATGTGAGTGAGTTGGTTTTTGGGTTTAGGGGAATGCGCCGAACGGGTGAGGGCCCTTGGGTCACCGGCTGTAGGTGCGATGCAGATATGAGCAAGTCAACTCAGGTCAACGGAATTTTAGACAAGTTGTCCATTAGACATAATGTCCTTAGACCACTTATCCATTAGACGAGTTGTCTTTAGACGAAATGGCCGGCACCCACGCACGCACGGCGCATGGCACTAGAGGTGTCCCGGACGGGAAATGTTATTTAGTCGCTGCCTTCCAACGTCAGCACGGAGGCCCTGGGACCGGGCCCTCCCCACGCCGGGCCGGCCCCGCTCCCCCCCTAGCTAGGGGCGAGTTGCGCCCCCCGTGCACCCCCCTGCAAAACGGCTATGTTACGGGAAGTGGCACTAGTGCCTCCCCTCCACAGTTCTGCAGTTCCGCACCTCGACGCCCATGGCCGTGGTCGCGGCTGGCCCGGTGGGGCACCATTGGCGTTGCAAGCCGCTGCCTGTGGGGCTTAGCCTTCAGGCGCACCATTCACGATTTCAAGCACAAGGCCCTGGCAAGGAGCGCGAGCACTGGAGTGCAGCACGTGGCACCGCTGCAGCCCTTTCTGGAACTCGTGGACGGACGGACCGACCGCGAACCGTTTTATGGAGCTACAATCCACCCAGACGCTACGTCCGTGGGTTCGCGGACGACCATTCTGTTCACGGAATTTTGCGATTTGTTTCCGCCTTCGTTGTATGCAATATTCCTCTATACTTCGCAGACGGAAGTTTGGGGATTCCGCGACGTTGCAGACAGAAGTTTGAGGATTTCACGATGTTGTAGACATAGGCGCCAGCCATAGGTGGGCCGTCCAGGAACGGGGACGGGAACGGGAACGGGGACGGACCGGAGTCCGTCCCCGTCCTTGGGCCGGACAGATTTGGGACGGATTTGGGACGGATTTGGGACGGACTGGAATGGACTGGAACGGGTCCGTTCTTGACCCTGGAACGGACCCAGGAACGGGTCCGTTCCTGGGACAGGAACGGTGTCCGTTCCCGTCCCAGGAACGGACCCGTCCCTGGGACGGGAACGGACACCGTTGCCGTTCCCGTTCCGACCAACTTTGGACGGGCCCACCTCTGGCGCCAGCGTGCGTCCATTTCTGTGAGCTGGTTGGTTCACAACGGATGGGTGGTGTGTCTACAAAAGGGCCGGGCCAGCGGGCCTCCCCGGGAAGCCGGGGGAGGTGCAAGATCTGCTGCAGATCTCGCCATGTGCGCCGCAAAGCGTGCTTCCCGCTTGGGTGCTTTATGGGTGCCGAATGTTGCCAGCCATGATAACACGATTGGCACCACGGGTGGCACCAATTGGTGGCCAGAAGGGGCGAGAATGGTGGGAGTGGGTGGCCACGTTCGGCCTCCCACTCCTGCCATTTTGTGGCGTTTGGCTGTGGCCACGTTTTGGGCACTGTGGAGGCCACAGTCCATCCTTGGCGTTCGGCCCCTGTGGGCACCGAATGGTGCCGCTCGTGGGTGCCAATCTAGGCACCCGTGGGTGGCACCAATCAGTGGCCACGAGGGGCAATAGCGGTGGGAGTGGGAGGCAACTTTCAGCCTCCCACTCCCACCATTTTGTGGCATGTTTTGTGGCCACGCTTTGGGCCCCACAGAGGCCACAATCCACCTTTGGCGTTCGCCCCTTGTGCCAAGCGGAACTGCGGAGGGTAGGCGCCAATGCCCCCTCCAACGACTTAGCCGTTTTCACAGAGGGGGCGCACAGGGGGCACGGCTCGCCCCTAGTTAGGGGCGAGCGGGGCCTGCCCGGCACGGCCCAGCCCTGATCCGGGGCCTCTATGGTGACGTTGGAAGGCAGCGACTAAATAACATTTCCCGTCCTGGAACCCTCCCCCCCCTTAGTCATGCCTAAACTGCATGCACCGGTGGAGGAAACCCGGGAGAAGCCGGCGGGAGGCTGGTTGACGCCCATGCCACGCTGCACCCGCGCCCCGCGCACCAGTGCAGGAAGCCGCGCGAGGCACAAGGAAGTCCGGGGAGGGGCATGAGTGGACGGTTGGCACCCATGTTGCGTGCTGCGCAAGGTGCAAGGAAGCCTAGGGAGGGGCGGCATGTTGCCGGTCGGAATCCGCGCCGTGCGCCATCCAAGTGCGGCGCGCGGCGCCAGAAAGCCTGGGGAGGGGGCGGTGCATGTGCGGCGTGTGGTCGGCGGTGCGCAGTTAGCAGCATGCAGTTGGCGGTGTGTGGTCAGCCAAAATCGCGATTTTGCTCTATAAAGCTCCGCTCGCTTAGCTCGCTTGCAGAAATAGAAGCAACGCCCTTGTGTGCTCCATGGGTTGTCAGATGGATGCATTTTCTCAATGCTCCTATTGAGATTGGTTAGGAACAACCAAGTGCTCTGTCCCAAAGAGCTTACCTGCTAGGTATCTGGCAAAGCAATTGAGCTTTTTCAGGTAGCATCTTGTGTTGCTTGACCACATCGTGACATGCATATTATGATATTGTATTTACCCAGTATTAGTAGGCATGTATTGGACCCCCAAAATAAGTGGTGGATACTAACGCGGTTTGGACCCCTAATCCCAAAGAGTAGACAGAGAAAATTGTTGACAAATATGCTGTGAAATGCCCAGAAATGGGCAAGAATGGCAATGCTAGTGTGGAATGTTGTTAGCCTCTTCACGGGCGCTGATGGCCTTGACTTGGGGCTGCTCTAGGTGGCGGCGACTAGCGATTGGGGCCAATAGGAGTTTGCTTGAATGCTCAAGGCGCGTTTTCCTCTACGATGCAAAGAACGAGGACAGACATTGGTCTCGACTTGTTGGAGCACAATATTGCAACAATAAGCTCGAAACGCGGTGCTTTCCTAGGTTGTTGGCAGATAGAACGGTTGATGTGATCTGTGATTGTGTTCGTGGCCTGGTAGCTAGTGCAATGTGCGAGTTGGGGATGGCCCAGCCTTGGGAGCGTTTTGTGGGCAGTTTTGAAAGGCGGGGTCTCACAATGACAGCTGTCCTGACCAACGCCATCGTCTGCCCATTCCTTGCATTGGGCCTTGGGGTGCCCTTGGCAGGCGGCAGGCCGGAACCCACATTGGCCTGCCGGGGAGCATGTTAAAATAATCCAAAAATTGGGCAGCTTTGATTTCTCGACCGTTTCTTTGACTGTGCCCTGCAACATCAGTTGATGCCCTACGATCCTGCACTAAGAGCGCCAATGGCGGCCAGTCGACCATGCAACCTTTCGTGGGCCCCTTTTCAAATTTTCCATCGATGGCATCCACTCTGACCCGATCGTCCCCATCGATGTGTGAATCGTAGGGAGCACAATTTGGTCTAGACTAGGCAATGCGGTCCAACGCTAGCTGCCAACTTCCCTTGCCACCTTCCATGCCTTTGCTCATTTCTATCTGTATTTGGGGTTGGATACTAACACCGGGTCATGGGTACTAACGTGGTCTCGACCTCCAAAGAGGGGGGTGGATACTAATAGGGGGTGCCTACTAATACCGGGTAAACACAGTACGTACAAGTAATATGCATAGTTGCTTTTAGTAGAATGTGAATGCACCATGTGACCATAACAACGCAAGCGTTTGATTCAAATTTTGACTCAATCTTATGTGTATGTTTGTCTACCCAGAGAGGCGACAGAGGCCATGTCACGTTGCAGCCAGGGAAATATCCAGGTGAAACAATGTGGCCCAGCCCTTTTATATTTTGTTGCTCTTTTCTATCTTGTTCTAAATTTTGGTTGTGTGCAACAAAAGACAACAAAAATGTCTATTGTCCATCCTTTGTGGACATGAAGGTCGCTAAGTTAATAAAAATCATGAAGGTCACCTTGGGGTTTGGAGGTTTCAGTTTTAGGATTATAGGGTCTTGGTATCCTTAATGACTCCTTTATGAACAAGAATGATGGTATCGGACAAACCTCAAAGATAAGGCCAAACGCCATACACTTGGTCAAAAATTGGGAATGGACTATGCTATCACAGAGGGTGTCAATCGAATTTTCATCGAATTCAAGAGTAACTGCATTTGGCCCGGACAGAACTCTCCCTGCAAGTAGCTGTAACATCCACATTCAAAGTCACTGCGATCAGAGGAGAATTGAGCAAGGGTAGGGTATTGTGAGTTGTGAGTGGGTGTTGTGTGCTGTGAGCTAGGTGGTAGTGGACAGGCTTTCAGTCGTCTTCTATGCCTGCAGGTAACGATTGTGTATTCATATATCAGGGAATAAGCCAGGTCATTGAGATGTGATGTCATGACAAATGATTGCTAAAAGTTGGTGGTGCTCCTATGTGCTACTAGTGAACACCATGCCGTCATTAGTAAACATAGCACAACACCCATTGAAAAATTGTTGTCCTTTCTGGCGGCAACTTTTGTTTGTGCCAAATTTTCTAGAGTGTTTCAACTTTTGTTGCAGATGCCTATCCTGACATATGGATTGTGGTTGATTTGCTATGTTGGTAAACGGCATATTTGTGTGCTGATAACCTTGGACCTTTGTTGCTTCTAATCAGTGAACCCACAACACATAAGCCATCCAGAAAAGAAAAAGAACAACATTATATACTAGCCGTATTTGCCATAATACCCAGTATGTGTATAGCCTGAGCTTAAGACTGACTTGACCTATTATCAGTGTCATGCACATTGTCCATTTGATCTACTATCATTTGTTGCTTTCCATGACGATGCACACAAATTGTGTATCACAACTTCGCACAATTGCTGGGATCACAATCGCACAACATGAATGCTCTATTTGCCATCGTTGTATGCCACCAACATATAGTCGATTGGATTTATGACCATGGTGATAGCCCAGGCAGTAGTCCTAATGTAGTAAAGAAGAAAGAAACAACATGAATGATGAGCAGCAAACATGCTCGTAGTTGTGTCACCAAAGTGATGTTGTGATAATGCATCGAAAGCCCAAGCATTCCACAGGACAAAGGGTTAGGAACAAGAATAAATATTTATGTTATATTGCCCTGATTTGAATCGGTAGCCCAGCATTAACTCGTCAAGAAGGTCTACAAGAACGTGGGGGATGAGGGGATGCAGAAATGGGATGGCATTATTGTTAGTAATGCGGTAGACCTTGGATGCAAAGACATCCGCATTTGGACAAGAAAATTGGATGAGGTGTGGGCGTGTGAGTCCCCACAATAGATGTATCGACCCCATCGACTTGACTGTTATGGCCCATCAGCAGCCCCTGGTGTCCATAGCGCTTGTGGGGTCGCCACACCCTACAGCACAGCCCTTGATGTGGGTTGGCTTCTCCACCCAATTGAGTGGGCGTTTTTGGGGTGCTCGCTTCCTCGGTCGCGCAGTGGGCCCTATGCTTGACGGGGATCATCCCCCACAGCTTGTTATATGTGGCAGGTAGCGGCACATCCGGGCGGTGGCTCACTGGTTCACGGGAAGACCAGTAGTAGGCTAAAACGATTACAAGGGCTATTTGTATGCGCTTGTTTCAGGACCCGCATGCATACAAGGCACGATCACGGGTCCCTCGCAGTCACACAAGACAAGATATGTCAGTGTATGTTCCAGCATGTGTCCCCGATCCACCGTTCACCCTTGATCAACTAATTGCCCTATAATTCCAAGCATCTAACACCCGACCTCCCAACCTGTGAGGGGCGCCCAGGGGGGGGCTATGTACATTAGTGCAGAAAGGGTTTTTCTTGTATAATAACATGGGAGAAACGTTGAATATTAGACCAGCGGGGTGCCCAGAGAGGAACCGGGTTGTATAATAGTTATTTTATTTATAGCAAACGGAGTGTGGGTTGCACACTTGAATGCCGTTCGAGGTCAAGGACATATGGGACAGGTTATGGGATAGAACGCCTGGGAAGTTAATAGTAAACAACAAATGGGAATGACGGGGAAGTGACACGGGCATGGGGGACACGTGTGTCGGGGGATTCGAACCAATGCGAATAAACATTTGAATTTGCCATTCTGGCAGCGCCTCTTGGGCTGCCAGAACCCTGCCCACGGGCGGCTATAAATAGCCGCCCGACTCTTCACTTTGTAACTCGAAATCTTGGCATCCGACTACTCGCCTCTTGCCATTCCGAGCCATATGACTGTCCGACTCTTTGGGCCCGCGGGACCGCAGCTTGTACCCGGCAGTTGCGTCCCCTTACACAACCCCTAAGTACTATAGCTTCAAGAGGCCATAACTTTGCCGTTTCTTAATGGAATTGGGCATATAAAAACGTGTTGGAAATAGGAAGCTCTAAATAACACTCCCGAAAGGTCAATTTACCAATTACATAATGCTCATTTCAAAAAATGTTAATAATTGTCTAACCCTAAATAATCGCACCACATTACTCCCCGCTTGGGGTTATTTTCGCCCTCGAAAGTACACTATCCCGTACTAGTGTCCCCAACCTCTCAATGTGCTACGACTGTCCCCAAAGATCAATGAGGAGTACAGCTTGCCTAACCTCAGGTGGGTTATGGCCTCACCCTCTGACCAGTTCTAGGGGAGGTCTGGCCACTAGGTAGTAGCAACTCTGGACCCAACTAGGCATGCCTATTGCTGTACTGAAATTCCTCCCCTTTTCCCTAGTTAGTCCCCAAATTTGGGGGCAGAGTGGTCTCGTTGTGCCCCGCCTGCAGTACTTGCAAGATAGAGCAGCACATGCAACACACTAAACAAGGTTTCAATGCTGGTGCACTGGTACCCTAATGCATTGCTGATGGGGTTGCTGGCCATCTCGAATTTGGCTACGTGTAGAGCTTCTGACGCGGCTCAATGTTGGCTCTGAATCTGGTTGCGGATGCTCCGGCTTGGCAATCGCCGACGTTCTGCACGTTACGAATCCAATCACCCTTCGTAATGGAACTCCCTTGACTCAATGGGGCACACCATGGCTGACAGCACAATGCGATTCAGCCCAATAGGGCTGGCCGCAACTGCGGGTGCTTGGAGGAACTTGAATCTGCACCCCTTGAGGGCGCTGTGGGTCACTCTGTCATGTTGTGCCCGCCACACAACTCTCTAGCTCCGGGCTTGAACTCCGAAACCAATTTGTGATGGCCCATCAGCAGCCGCTGGTTTCTGGAGCGCTTGTGGGGATGCCACACCTTGCAGCACAGCCCCTGACGTGAGCTAGCCTCTCCACCCAACTGGGTGGGCGTTTTCAGGGTGCTCACTTCCTCGGTCATGTGGTGGGCCCAATGCTCGACGGGGATCGTCCTCCAGAGCTTGTTGTATACGGCGGGTGGTAGCGCAGCCGGGTGGTGGCTTGGTCGTGATTTGCTTTGCTGCCAGCACGGCAAGCCGGATTAGGCCCCGTACACACCGTGTGAACCACACCATCGGCTTTACCATTTGTGCTAAATTGTAGGGCTTTGGTGTGACTCTCTTGAAGGTTTTGCATCCTTGTGTTACCTCAAGATGGAAATGCCCATTGCTGGGAGACAATGATCACCAGTGGTGGGTAACTTACAAGTTGCAACAATACAGTGGTGGACTGCAATAGAAACATCCTCACTTGCCTCATGTATTCTTTTGACATAGACTCAACAGTGGCACCAGTAATTGTCAAATTCTGGCAACACATAGTTTTGCATAGCAGACTGACGTCTGTATAGAGGACCTGCATCGACTAGACAAGTGGTGTCAGCATCAATCGGGTGGAATGGGTGCTTTGGGCGGATGCATTGCGATTGTGTAGTTGGTTTCACAATGGTTGTGGTGGTAGTCTGTGGGAGGGGAAGTTGTTATTGTGGAGTTCATTAGAGATGCAACCGAGTTGCATCAATCCATAAGTGATGTGGAACATAGTGGCATGCATCCATTGGCCAAGAATATGAACTTGCATGAGTGTGGACTTAGATTGTGGCCCACGCCTGCAGCAATAGTCAAGAGTGTATGTGTTGCACAAAGGCTAGAGTGGCAACTCTGATGATGGCCAGCATAAGAGATATGGTATGGTGGATTGGACTGAACAAGGGGCAGCAATGTCATGTTACATCGCTTGATTGTTGCAACAACACAAGTTGGGATGAATGGATGGAGGAATTTGCCAACGGGTGGCAAGGAAGGTGGTGGGGCCCAAGTGGACAGCTGGAAACTATCAGAACGGCTGTGATTATTCCATTGTTTGACAAGTAACTGATATGACTTCGGTTTAGGACAACAAGGCCTGGGATTTGGCTTGTGACAAGATTGCAGACTAACATGAGAGGGTATTGCAAGGGCGTTTTGTAGATTGTTTGGAAAATAACCGTTGGTGATGAGAGCTTGCACGGAACGGTTCTGTTCAAGTGATGAAGTGAACAACTCAACACATGCTGAGCCAGTGGCCCTTGACAAGGCCACCATGTCTTGCCAATTGTTGGTCTCCCCCAGCAAAAGGATGACCTATACACTGCAGCGCCATTGTCATGTGTATGTAGGTGAGCCATGTTCTGTTGAACTGTATCTGTTGCCAATGGCTGAAATTTCAGTAGTGTCAGTGTCCCAGATAGTCTTGGGACCAGATGGCTGGAGCCAATCGAGATTCCCTATAGGGAAGTATGCGTCCATGACACGGACATGGCAATGTCAGCCCTTATCAGAATGAGAATGAGAGTCTCTTGTGTTACACCAGGTGAAGACATTGGTAGACCAAAGTCCACTATGGACACAAAAAAATCGAACTCCCTGCTGAGGCTGATCAAGATAGTAGCTTGTTGCCATTTTTTGCTGCAAGTCCATCCGAGGGGCTCTGACCCAAGCTTTCCAATTCACAATCTTTACCGTTGCGATCGTATGGGCCACGTATAGGGGTCCAACTCCATGTTTTGCGGGGCATGTGTGATTGGGCGCTTTTCTATTTCAAGTTCCGCACAGCATTGAAAAGTAGCAACTATCCTCATTTCACTTTGTTGTTTTTCAAGGCATCAGAGTTTGGGTTGGCTACATTGTAGGTGTTTGGAGCGGACGTTGTTCAAGGCAAACTGCAAGTTGGCTGGCATGCTGGATGATTCAGAGCCAACACAAGAGTCCAAGGAGTTCACAAGGCAGGTTGTGGATGAGGTGAATACTCCAGACTACTGGTTCCATGCTAGCAAGGATGGCCATCGAGAGTCACACTATAGAGGTGGGGGGCCCTTGCTCAAGACACTGGATTGCTTTCCATATGATCCATCTCGCGCAATGAATATGCACATGCGTGGCTGCCTCTGAAATGTGCAGATGCTTTGGTTGCAATATAAAGTACCACCTCTGTCCCAAAAGTGTTGTCCAAATTTCTTTTCTTACAATAACTTTTCAAGATCAGCTCAGCTAGTCAATTGAACACCAGAGTCAGGTTCCTTGGTCGATTTCTGATGGATGTGGATCCCATTACACACAATCAACACCATACACCAAGAAATCCAAAGTGTTTTAAAAAGCATCCCTATCCATTGTTGCACACTCCTTGAGTTCCCCCTATTGTTGTGCGTGCTTAATCCCTGTATGCTCCATCATGTACCATTCTCTCCAAATTCCTCAAGCACTTTGTTGTACACAACAACAAGCATTACCACACTTGCTCAAGGGTGTTTGCATCATCTTGTTCATGCTTCTTCAGCAATTCCTGCCAACTCATCCACATTGTTGAATCTTGTCTTAAGAATCCTTGTTTTTAACGATCTAAAGAACCCAAGGTTGTTGGTGTTCAAATCAAGAGATTGCATTGGCCGGGTAATCAGGTCAATCAACCTGCCCTCCATATGCCCAGCTTCTTGAAGGGCTTCCAGGTTTCTTTTCATGTGTGGGGCCTTGTTGTGACTATTGGACACAAAGTCAATTAGTACTAACTATAGTCACTACATGTTGCTATTGGGAAGCAACCTTAGGGGAAGCTTTTGAGATTGTTTAAGGCCTCTTGTATTCGGTTACTTGTGTAGTTTTGGGCCTACCACTTAATGCTTAAACATTATGTTAATTTGGACAATTATCTAGATGTTGATTGTTACCGGTTGTGCCATTGTTGTGCTATCCTATGTGTTACTATTGCCATGGGGACCCCGCCTCTGAGCCTCTGTTCGAATGACTTAGGGCATGCCCAACTGGGGAACAACAGGCCTAGCCCCATCTTATTGAATCAACATCCGCTTGTTTTACATCCATGACACCTTTGTCTTGATTGCCAAGAAGAACTTCTCAACATACCACTTGTGATATGAAGCAAAGTATATGGTGGTGTCCACCTGGCATTTAACCCCCCTATTAGTGGTATCTACTACTTCTTTTTGCAATCTTCTGTTTGGACATATGCCAGATTTCAATCTTCTCATCGAATTTATATGCCGGATCCAGCCCAGTGCTTGCCACAATGAATATTGTTTTGGAATGTGGCTCTTGTGCTAAATTGTGCCAACATGATCCACTATTTCCTTAGGGAAATAGCATGCTTGCTCGCCGTCCACCATAAAATAAAGTCAAGTTCATCCACATGGACTAGGTTTAATACAAAATCGTACACTATTCTTCTCTCATTGGCCTTGTTTGCTACAAACACCAATCTGCATACATCTACTTGGGATTTAACAACGGTTTGCTTTACTGCCGCTTGCACACTGACCCCATCACCTTGAGCCATCTACACACCAAAGTTTTGCTTATGTCAATGCTGGAATTCTCAATTTCTTGAGTAATTTGCCTCATCGTCCCCCAACGATTCCCCTAGTTTGCATCTGTCAAAGTTGCTTCCTTGGTCGGCATTAGGAGGCAAGGCCATCTTGACATTGACTTATCTCCAAGATCTATACTACTACATCGATCTAGTTGTTCCATTGCTCTAAACCACCACCTCTTCGTGGTCTTTGCTGAGACTCAGAATTTGGCTGCGATCTTTGGCACCTTCCCATATAGAATGCAATCGCTAGAAGCATCCATTGCAAGTGCGCGACTGAGGGCCAAGACATAGTGCTCTTCCAATGGTGGCTCATCCAATTTCGCCCTTCTTGATGGGCAAGACAAGCTCGCCATGGCAGTGGCAAACTGGTTGCAACGATCAAAGCCCCACCTTGGTGCATCAGGCCATAACTTGATAATCATTAGCCATTCGCGGCATTTGAGGTCACAACGGATAGCCCTCAGAAAGACATGTCAAAGTGGTTTATGTTGTGCGGCGGATTGGCCGCCGCGGAGTGCAGCTAGGGGGCCTTCGGTCAGGCCCTCCGCGTCGCCCAACTGGGGGCGCGCTAAACACGCGCTAAGACCCCTCTGCGCCCCTCCTGGGGCGCGCTGAACCGGGGCGACCGCTCCCTCTGTCCGCGGAGGTGGGCCCGGCGGTCCGCGGTGGTCGAGCAGGCTCGGGGAGGCTGTACGGCCAGCGAGTGCGGCAAGGCTGCGCGTACCAGCGGATGGTCGCGCGACGGGATTGGGCACATCGAGAAGACTTGGTGAAAATGAGTCAGTTTGAAATAGGATCACCCCTATTTATACCCCATGTCCGACGTGGACATTTGGGGTGATTCAGAGCCAACAAAGCATCCAGAATCAGCCTGACTCAGCCCCAGAGCGTACCCAAACGCCCAGTACAAGGAGTTTTTGCCCCAAAATGGCAAAACACTATAAAAGCTCCTGTATGGTCAATATTTAACCAAATAGGGCGAATAAAGTACCGTTGGAAAGCCAAAATAAAAGGCTATCCAGTGAAAATGGAAACTTCAGAAAATTTTCTCAATTAAGCTCATATAATTGAGCTATCATTGACTGCCCCTGAGGTCCACATAACAGTTTAGGTCAACTTTTCTGACTCACATGTTTTGAACTTCGTTTTTGTGAACATGGATTTGGACAATACTCTTGGGACACAGGGAGTAGGAAATAATGAGGTTGAAAAGGCCTCCAGTCACTGAAGGGTTGGCATCCAGCTCTGGCGTTTTCAGTGATTTGCTCATGAATTGCCCGTGCCATCCAAGTTGCAAATCTTGGCTGTGTATATCTAGTATATGGCCATATCCAAGATACGCCCTATGTCACGGTCGTGGAGTCGCAACTGCATGCCGCAAGCACACCCATAGTCTTCCTTACCTGTAAAGAAGAGTGGGAGGCAACGGCTCGAAGAGAACTGATGAGACCGAGTGGCATCAGTCGAAACTGGTCTTGCTGCCAGAGCCCTGTCTTGTGAGGACCTCCCAACGAAGGTTGTCACTTAGTCTTGACTGAGGAACCCAACCGAAGGAAGGAAGGAAGGAAGGCAACAGGCGTGCAAATAACCCAATCCCGACACGGGAGGGTAGGGACAAGACGTACCAAATATTGGGGTCTCCATCGAGGTGTGACCATGGAGCAAACTGCCTATCCGGACAAAGCTCACCCCAAGAGTTAGGGTGTGTGGTATCTTCGAGTGGTATGGGATGCTCGTTTGCTAAGATCTGGCTCCTCACTTAACACCCTATCCATGTCTTATTGAATATCTAAGATATGGAGACATCTTATATCCAATCCCCTATCCAATATATGAAAGTTTCTATGGTAAGATGCAGAAGCACTCACACTCTTAAGACAATATTAGCCAGTAAACAAATCTTTGCATGATTTAAAGCCAAGTGGCATCATTCATCCAAGAAATATTTTGCAGATCAAGGAGGTAGGCATGGTCGCAAATGCATCCAGGCTACTGGCATCGTGTGGCTGGGTGCATTTGTGGCACGTTCCTTAAAATTGTTGTTGCACATTATGTGCGGCAATCATGGTTACTGCACAGCCATGCTTTGGCACTCGACCTAAGCTGCTCATGCCATGGAAGTGGTAGCAGAACGTTTGCAAACTTCACAGACGTCAAGCCCCCCTTTTGTTGGCAACCGAGGTAGTCCAACCTACACGCTCAGGCACCACCCCAGATCCTGTACTAACTGGGCCATTTGCATGAGGTGCAATTGAACTTCAGAAGGAACTGCTGTCATGCTGGCTTTCAGTGGTTGCTGAAAGCTGGCTTTCAGTGGTCGCTTAGTCGAGCGCAATTGCTTACCTTGCTGCAAAGACATTTCTTTCAACTCATTGCCATTGACAGAATTTTTTAGCAACTAGGAATCAGTGAATTCTAGATGCCGTTGGCGCAATGTTCTATATTCAATGGACAAATCATGCACATTGCTTTTCTCCAGCAGAATAGTCTACCTCTTGCCCTTGATATGTTATATTTCTGGATTGACTGCAACCGTTGTACCCTTCAGAGCTCTCTAGTCTTGCCTTGGCTGTGTGATGTGTACTGAAGCAATTAATTCATTTTCGGCAACGTTTCATGCAGAATTAGGAGTGATTATCACATTTGGACTGCAACCAAAGTCAGCATAGTTCCGTGAAGATTAGTTTCCTTGTGGGGAAAGTGCCAGATACTCGGCCATCACTCAATGATAGGAACCTTTTTATGTTGAACATAAAACACAGTTTGGGTTGCATGATTTGGTCCTGTGAGGGCGGAGTACATAAACGGGATCAATCGTGAAATCCCAACTGTATGTTGGTTCCACATGGCAGGAGTTTCGCTAAGTTACACAATTTCTAGCAATTGCACACAGTTTTAAGATGACATGAATTGTGTAACGCAAAGGATTTGGCTTCAGTGCAGTCTGTGTATATCCACCCATCAAATGGTGCTTATTAGTTGTGTACACATCAATGACACGATCGATGTGGCTCTGCACAGGGAATGCCATGGGGCTCACGCTGGTGCATGAGCTCGGTCATTTTTCTTCTCCCACACAGCAGTATTGGCATCAATTGCCAGGTAAGGGGGCCTCATGCCTGTGGGGGGCAGCTGTACAGCTGTGGCATAAACCCGACGCAGCTTCGCGCCATGTGGCCTGTGGCATAAACCCGACGCAGCTTCGCGCCATGTGGCCTGTGGCATAAACCCGACGCAGCTTCGCGCCATGTGGCCTGTGGTATAATGCTAAAAATGGACGAAGAAGGTGTCCGCAGTGGGGATGGATGGAAATCGCCGTATTCGCTGGCCTAAACCCTTGCCAGAGGCTCTTTCGATTCAATGAATCACCAAAGCAATAAACTTATAGATTAGCGAGTCATTGCGCAGACCAAATGGGACATTTCAATGCGACAAAATATGCAGACGATGGACAGAAAGTGTAGCTGATAATTAGTAATAGAAAGCAGACATGCGCGGCTGGTGAATTGCGGACTCGAATGAGAATCGATGATACTTTCGTTCGACCTCCAGTACGTGCGTGTCCACCATATTCCCCCACCCCTTCCCCACATGCCCCCGGGAGGCAAAGTTCTTGTAGAAAGCGGTTGCAGTTTCAACGGAAATCCGAGCACCGGAGTTGTGCGTGTCCATAAACCAAATTGTTAAGGATTGACTTGGGTAAATGTTGGAGATGAACAAAATACAGATTGCACGTTCAGGTTCCATCGAGAGCTTGCTGCACAATGTGAACACTGTTTGGCGGCCTCTGTCGTGTGTCTTGTAGGTATCGTGGACGACTTTCGCCAGAAGGTTGAGGCTCAATTGCCTGGCATGTACACATGGTTCGCAGACGAATCCTTGCACGTCACCATTCGGGGCTTAATGGGCTGAGCCAAGGATTGGCCGAATCATGTGTCGACTCGCTAATACTGTTTGTCTTGCACTTGCAGAGAGAAGTCTATTTGGATAGTAAGAGGGCACGCTCAGATAGTTTTGAGCCGCAGGAAATTGGTATCAGTTGCACAAAGCGTGTGCAAGCTGGAACACATCATGCAATTTTGGCTGTGAATTGGGTTCCATTTTGGAACCTGTGTTGTGCAAAATATGTGCCGGGCAGCTACCTCCTCGCCTAAGCAGAATTTTTAACCCATTGGCTGGCTGGCTGGCTGGCGCATGCGTTGGATGATTATCTGAACACATGTATAGCTCAACCTTGAACTGATCAGGACGATTCCGAAAGGTTGACCAGGCAGGCCGTAGGTGGTCAAATTGAAACTGGATTTTAGTGTGGTTGAGTTGCTATCTCTCGCCAGAAATTTGGCAGGAGAAGTGTGGTCTGAGCAGCCTGATGCGATAGGGGAGGTGTCACTGTCGCCAAACGGATCTGGCACTTGACATAGTTGCAAGAACGATAAACGCATGCCTTGGGGCGATGGCTGCGATCCTGGGCGCCATGCACCCAGATCAGATACATGAATGGGCAAATATCATGGTGGCTGTATCTCAGTGGAGGAGCGCCCATGGCGCTCGCATGCTTGAACGCACCTTGAACAGAAACAACTGCATATTGTCCTCTGTTGCGGGCTTGGTTCTAATGTTTAGGTTTACGCTCACGTTTTTAACTTTACGTTTTTATGCGCAAAAACGTAAATTTGCAAAAGGGCCTATGTGTATGGCTATTTTTGCCTTTTTGCGGCTCCTTGGGACACCCAGGTTACACGATGAAAGTTGCGTACAATGGTCAGTCCTCCGCCATCTCCAGCACCCACAACACAATGCCCAGCTCGCCCTTGGCAAGGGCGATTATGGCGTTTGACTAGACCTCGTTTTCTGCCCCTTCCAGGGCGTCTGGCTGCCACTCTCCAGACTCCGTAAGTCTGCATGTACTGTCCTTATGTACACCGGGCAGTTCTTACATTGTATTAAAGTATTTTTACGCATTTTACCGCTGAAAACGTAAATACGATCAGTTTTTATGGGGTAAAGGCCAAGCCTGCTCTGTTGTCATTGCTAATCAAGCACATCAACCTTGATCACTGTCAGACAACACCACGTTTGCGATGCCAACTGTGATGCCATTTTGATACAAAGTGGCGCCAACACAGCCATTGCGACAGTACAAAAGTGGGTGTTACGCCATCAAATGGGATCGCAGCTGGCATCGCCTGAATATTGGTTTCTACTTGTAGATCGGATAGCTATACCCTAATCTGACATGCAGCGTAAACACCAACTTGCCCATAATCACAATCTCAAAGGCTTTCTCTCAACAGCCAGTTCAGGAGCTTGCTAGTCGACATACAGACCATTCGACTTGAAAGTGGAGACTGTGCTGGAGACTACCAGATTGTTGAGCTTTTAGGCAGCTTTTCGTCTTCAATTCTCTGTCCACCACTTGTGTGATGGGATCCTCACGGAAAAGACAGAGGGACCAGTACATTCTCCAGCGGAGCCCAGCTCCCACCACAAGACCCACACACGCAGTGGATCTCGCGTGACCGGTGTGACTGGTCGCTTGGCGTCACCGCGACCCTGCGTGCCCGCCCGACCCGCCTCCGCCAGCTGCCCCGCGGGCCCGCCCTGGCCACCCACTTGCCGCGCGAACAGTCACCTCTCACCCAGATCCCGCCGGCTTCCACCCACCGCCGCGCCCCACCCGCGGCGCTGCCAACCCCGGCGCCCCCAAAGCGCCGTGGCGCGGCCCCTGTTCACTTCCGAAAGCTGGCCATGGGCGCGGAGCACTCCAAAACGGCCGCGGCCCCGAAAAAAGGCTGGGACGCTGCAGCAAGCCCACCCTCTGCCACAGAGCGCCTCGTGGATCGCATCCTCACCGTTGCGGAGCAGCTGCTGGTGCCTCTGGCGCGGGAGGCTGCGCGCGGGGGCCGCGACGTCCAGACATGCGCCGTGCTGAGCAAATACGACCTGTCGCTGGTGGTGATGGGGTCGAACTGCGAGGCGTTCAACCCCATCTTCGGCCCGGAGCTGGAGTCGATCGTGAGGTTCTTCATCGAGGACGAGCGCCCGGAGCCGGGCGACTGCTACGTCGTGTGCACCCACGAGCCCGGGCTAGTCGCCATGGCGGCCCTGGTGCAGGCGGGTTTCGACAATTTCTACTTCATCTTCGACGCGTACCGGAAGTACGGGAAGGGGGTGGCGGGCCCCGGGGCGCGGCCCGGGGATGAGAGGATGATGGCGGAGCTGTTCGGCGCGGTGCACGGGCGGTACGCGGTGGACAACGCCTTCTGGAGCGCCTTCGATGTCAAGAGGATGATCGGGGAGCACTGCGGCGGGGGCAGGAGGAGGGGGTTCATGGCGAGGGTGGGGCGGCTGGCCAGGGCGCACGAGGCGATCCGGGCGGCGTCGGCCAGGGCGGGGTAGCGCGGCGGGGAAGCGAGCGACGGGGACGCGGGCAGGTTTTTGTTTTCTTTTCGGAGCTTTGGTCCCCTTGACGGCCAAAGGGGACGCGGACAGTGTTTTTGTTTTCCTGCAGGGCCGGACGGCCTCGAGTTGAGAGCGCACGGTCCTCTGATTGACCAAGAACTTTTTTGTCATGCCGAAGCTTTGGCGCCCCCGAAGGCCAAAAGGGAGGCGTGGGTGAGGGGAAGCGGGGTTGGGTGGAGGCGAGGAGAGGCGGGAGGTGGAGATATGTGGACGGGCGTGTCCTGTGGTCGGTCGCGGTTGTGTGGGCGCGACGGAGGCTGGCGGAGGTGATGGCCTGGGGGAGGAGACTTGTGGATGGGCGAGCCATCTGATCGATCGGGGATGTGTGGGCGTGAGAGACGCTGCCTGAGGGGATGGGCTGCGGCGGAGGGGGCGGTGCGGAGGCGCGGGGGGACGGGGGCGCGAGGGGCCCAAGGAGTTGTCGGCGTACAAAATGCGACGGGGGGGCGCTGTTGCTGTGGGGTTGGAGGGGTCAGTGCTGAGTGGAGATTGGTGCCAGCTATTTTGGTTTTAATTATGGCTTCAGCATCGCGGGAGGGGCCACGCAGGAGGGTTGCCAGCCCGTGCAACGGGGTCATATCACAACGCCTGCTTGAAACTGACGACGGTCCCCTGAAACAAGTGGCGGCTTTGGGCCGGACGCACGGGCGACGCGGATCGCTGAGGGAAGAAAGGACACACATCAAAAAGGCGTCGCAGCCATGTTCGGTGGACGCCTGTGTTGCAAGCACCTGCTCGAGTGGAGAGTGCGGTGGGTGTATTGCGCCCTGTGACATGGGCGTATGACGGGCGTCCAATGCTCGCGTTGCACATCTCAGGGATCTCCACGCGCAGCTGATCTGAACCAGCCTTGGTTTTTACGCCGTAAAAACTGATCGCATTTACGTTTTTATGCATAAAAGCACAAAAGTAAAAAAGTAAACGTAACGTATAAGCCAAGCCTGATCTGAACAGCTTGGTGGGTTAGCACGATGCAACGGCTCAGCATACGCTGTTCGATTCAAACCACCACAAATAAGCAATCAGCAAGCTTGTCGCTTATGAGCATCAGGGAACTTGCCTGTGAGTGATCACGCACAAAAGTGGTTTTCTCACAGTTGCCTGTATGCTCAAGTGCGCGCAATTTGGGTTTGCAGTGCTGACGGGTTGCGCCTTTCCTAGAGGTGGACGCTGTGTTGTGGGTGCTGGAGGGGCTGGAAGATTGATCATCGCACGCGATTTTCATTGTCTAGCCTGGTTGCCACAGCAAGCCGTAACAACGTACATGCAGCCGCAAAAATAGACCCTTTTGCAAATTTACGTTTTCACGCATAAAAGCATAAACGCGAAACCAAGCCTGTGCATAGAGGATGGCTGGTACTTGAACGGCATCGTCGCCGATTGCGAGGGTGAGTTGGGGGCAGACCTCACTGGGAAAAAAAGGGCCGAATAACACGTGTTCAAACGTGTACAAAGTTTACGGTTTCGGGTTGTTTTGTTGTCCTTAGCGTGCAGAACTTTGATGAAACGTGTTTTATGTGTGTTCGCAAGAGTGTTATTTGGTCCTTTTTTTGCTAGTGCCTTATGTGGGTGGGATCGGGTGTTGAGTAGGCGGGGTGCTGACAATGTGTCGCATGCCTGCGTTGGTGACCAGCGCAGGACCATTTTGTGCCATTTCCAGCCATTTTGTGCGTGACCATGCGCATTGTTGTGTTCACGAGTAATTGATAGGCTTAATTTCGTTTGCACAATCACTGTGGCGTGAATGTTTGTGCAAATAGTAAGC